GAAAACGCTGCTGACAATGAACAAATCATTTATTTTACCAATATTTGACTACGCGTGTCATGTATGGGATAATTGCACTAAAGAGCAAACGCTTCTTCTAGAGAAATTAAATCTAGACGCTATCAGAACTATCTGCGGAGCTGTTCGCGGCACAAGTCGTAACAAACTATATTCTGAGACAAATATTTCCAAGGAAATCTCCATACTGTATAAAAATTGTCAGCTTCAGGGGGTACAATAACTATGTATGCTCCTTTTAGCAGACTGTACCTGTGAAGATCCGGGTCAGAATTGAAGAGGCGACTAACGGGATCGGCTGGTCAGGTTCGTTGACTTGGTTGACACATGTCATCGGTTCCCATTTGCGTAGATCGATGCTCATGCATCACTGAATTGTCTGGTCCAGACCGCCAGATCGCCGCCAAATATAGCTTGAATATTGCTGAGTGCGGCGGGAAACTAAACTCACTCACTCACTCGCTTTTAGCAGGCTGATGCCCGTTAGATTGTTCAGTCAGGAAATGATTCGGCGTTATTTATGCTCATGACAGCAGGATAGTCAATGCGTGTACACAGGGAAAACTAGCAACATTTTATTGTGTCAGTTTGTGTCGATGCAAATATCTCCGTACTTGTAGTTTACTGCTACATTATTTCGTCTGTTATAAGACACCCTCTTGTAATCGGGGAGAAGAATCAGGTTCACTAAGGCTGAGAGACAGCTACTGTTTGTCATTTTCAATAGCTGTGACGGAAGCGGTGTGTTTATATGTCTGTTTGTTCGTTTGGTTTTTGGGTTTTTGTTTTGTTTTGTTTTTGTTTGTTTGTTTCATGGTTGGTTGGCAGGCTGGTTGTTCAACACCAAAAACAACAGCAAGACTTAAGGGAAATGTGGTATCTCCGTGCTAAATTCAGAACGTTTTTTAACTTGCTTTAACTTTCGGTGCTTTCACAACTGGTATATATAGAAAAACAGGAAGTATTTGAATGTATTCACTACAAGTTGCAGTTTCTGTTGATCTGAATGAGTAATACATATCACCGTTATCGCCGCTATATTTTGTTTGACCTTCACCTTACATGCTCTAACACGGAAGATGAACCTGAAACTGACACTCGCTGTCACAACATGTTGATAGCAACACATTTTGATCACAAAGTCAAACTGTAGTGAATGAGTGAGTGAGTGTTTAACGTCACCTTTTGCAATATTCCAGCATTATCTCGGCGGGGGACAACAGAGACGGACTTCACACATTGTATCCACGTGGTGAATCGGACATATTCATCACAAAGCCAAATGAGCAATATTCCAGCTACATGGTGGCGGTCTGTAAATAATCGAGTCTGGACCAGACGATCCAGTGATCAACAGTATGAGCATCGAGCCTGTCCACCCGATCACGTTAGTCGCCTCTTACGACAAGCATGGAGCGCTGCGAAAGACAAATTGAAAGTCAAACTGTAAATATATATCTTTAGTCTGTTTCACATGATTGTAATTACACTTGTGATGTTTAAATATTTAAAACAATGTTTCTTAATACATAATTTGAGTTTGCTCCAATCCGACAATGCACTGGGACATGTTTGGTTTGCTTGTTGTTCAACGAAGAAATTACAGACGCGATTTGTGCACAAACAATATCATAGAGCTATAAAACTGCTAAAACAAATATCTGCGCATGATATAGTCACAATTGTACAATCGACTCTGCTTTCGGCACAGATTTCGTACGAATGTGGTCGTTAGTCGCCTCTTACGACAAGCATGGGTTTCTGACCAGGGCGGTGGTGTAGCCTAGTGGTTAAAGCGTTCGCTCGTCACACCAAAGATCGGGGTTCGATTCCCGTCATGGGTACAATTTATGAAGTCTATTTCTGGTTTCCACCGCCGTGATATTGCAGGAATATTGCTAAAAGCGGCGTAAAAGCATACTCGCTTACTCTGAAGACCAGTTCTCTTCCGCTTTTACAACAAATTCGGATTTCGTGATATATTGTCAGCTGCTCTTACTGACGAGAACGCAACAGTCGGTCTTTTGCTGACAGTTCAAATTTCGTGATATATTCTCATCTGTTCGTACTGGTTGAAGGCTCCATCACGACGTCCTTCAAGTTCTGTGTAACTGTTCTGTTGTGTTTCTTCCAGGTGAAGCTCATCTGTGCCAGAAGTGTTGTCGCTGGTTGCACGCGGGGTCAGATAGCCTTCACCTGGTACAAAATGCACACATTTATACGGACATCTAAAATGCTTGCCACACTTTTAAGCATTTTAACAAGTATTATTTTGCATTTTAACTTTTACATATATTGCTTTTTCATGTAAAATTACATAAATGAATTGTAATAAATAAATTTATACGTGTATCTCACCTTCTGTTACTGGCACTGCGATGCCTTGTTGAACCTCGGAGGCCTTGAAACAAATACATCATTGTATAAATTGATTGGATGTGTACAATAGCAGAGTGAGTGAGTTAATATTTATAGTCACATCGTAAGGAATGGTATATATCCATCTGGTGTCCATGCAGGTAGCAAGTCCCCATGGTCCCTAGTATGGTGTCCTACCTTCAGTGATCTCCAGTCCGTTTTGTATATTGTATTGTACATAAACGTTTAATTTTACAGTTACATGCTAGTCTTAGTTTTCTATCTGTGATAATCTAGTTACTTTTACTGTCTTTCATTGATAGTTTGTTATTTTATAAATCAGTTGCGTTCAATATGAACTCTTTTTAAAGTCACGATATGGCTAAAATATTGCCGATGTGACTATCAATCTTAACTCTCTCACTATATTTGACGTTAATTAAACCATATCTGAACCTGTAAAACGATTGCTCGTTTTCTGTAAAGAACAGCAATTCCCAGACAAATGCCAAACATCAATATGGTGATTCCGGATCCGATTCCAATTCCACTCCACAGAACATTTGCGTTCCTTGACCCTGCAGAAAATCAGATACGTCATATATACTTTACAATGTTCATTTTAAGAGAGAGGGTGGGTGAAAAGTTAAAGTCATATCGACAGTATTTCAGCCATATCGTGACTATGAAAGGTGTAAATTTAAACATACATGAAAACAAACTTATGCAATGCACTTACCTGTCTGAAGGCAGATTTGCACTTAAAACTAGCATATTTAACCACAAAACGCTACTTCTATGTTCAACAATACAAAACAAAAACAAGCTACAGACTGCCAACAACTTAAGGTAGATCACCATACTAGGTGAGGTGAGGTGAAATTGGCTTTAACGTCGTGCTTGAGAATATTTCGCTCATATGACGACGTGCATGCGTGTGTATGTATATGTGCGGCTGCTTGTACTAGCCCAGACTGAAGCTGGTTTTATAGTGCTAGCCCACTGAGATACCATGCCGTAGTGAAGCATGAATACCCCACTCAGACACATTATGCTGACTCCGAGCCGACCAGTCCTTGTTGTACCCATTTATGCCGAGCGCCAGGCAGGGACCAACAAGTACCATATTTAAACGTCTTTTGGTAATACGCGGTCGGGGATCGAACCCGCGACCTTCCGCTCTCCGGGCAGACGCTCTAACCACTACACCACGGAGGCGGTCTCACCATACTAGGGACCATGGGGAGGTACAGTACATTTGTTTCCTATAGACGAATCTAGAGATAATGAATGATATAAATTGAGTGAAATCCAAATGGAATTGATATTAATTATCTGCATTATGTACATTACGCTGATGACAACAGCGAACTCTGAATAGTACAGGCAAACGGACTTGACTGAATGAGAGGAAGGCATATAAAGCCCAAACTACCCCTTACCACCATCCCCTTGTATTGGTCAGGTGATGTCGCTTCTGAAAATACATTATTGTTAAAACTTGATATATGACCATTTAGAAAGCAGCCTATAGTATGGCCTATAATCTAGGTGAGTGAGTGAGTGAGTGAGTTTGGTTTTACGCCGCACTCAACAATATAGCTATATGGCGGCGGCCTGTACATAATCGAGTCTGGATCATACAGCCCAGTGATCAAGAGCATGCACATCGATCTTTGTAATTGGGATACGATGACATGTATCAACCACGACAGCGTGCCTGACCACCCAATCCCGTTCGTCGCCTCTTACGACAAGCATGGGGTACTGAAAGCTCATTCTAACCTGGATCTTATAGCCTCTGTTGTTATATTATGTGGTAAATTTGATATATCATTCACCACATAGCTGAAATACTGCTGAGTGCGGCTTTTAACATCAAATCAATCAACCAACCAATCATTGCTCTCAACAATATTTGTCAGATTAGTGAATACCATAGCTAGTTATGTCAGTTTGCCCCTCTCTGCTGGCCAGGATACAGGACATATTCCATCTATGGTCACCGCAGGTGAAAGTCAGTTCCGTCCCAATGCTGGCGTCGGTCTTGTTGAAGTTGATGCGTACGGTTCTATCTCTTATGTTTGTGACTGTTTCATTAGGATATTCAACTACGTTTTCCCCTGTGGATATTTTCAGTTGAGCCAACTCAGAGCAGTAATACCCCTTGATGTTTACTCCCAGTGAGGTCCCTCAGCAGTGTCAGGGTCAGTGACGTGATGTGTAATGGAACATACGGGCAGTTCTGAAATATAACTATCTCTAAAACAGTCTGTATAATGTTGATACAGTAATCGTAATGACTTGTTCTGCAGTGTCAGAAATACTTTAAAAGTTCAAATAAAAAGTTAATGCGTGAAGGCAGATGGCAGTAAAAAGTGTGAGTGAGTTTCACGTTTACATCACATCGACCATATCGTGACAAAAAGTTAAATATTGAAAATGAACGTATTTATGCTTTTCGAAATGTCATCGATGGACAGTATAACGGCTAGATTATTACAGATTAATTAGAAAATCGAGTTTAAAATAGTTTATTCAATCCGAGATGAACGCAGTTTAAAACCGTAATTGTTACAACAACATCAACCTTTCATATGCTAATTAGAGACAAATCAAGCCATAGATTAAAATAACACATAACCGACGATTAATGAAAATATGTAGTTCCAAATCTGAGTTTAATGTTTCGGTACTCCTAAGGGGAACAACAGTTTTACAATACTTTAACCCTCCTCGAGGATAGAACCACTGACAATCTCAGTCCTGAACTGACTTTACCAATTTAAAAAAACAACAATTTGTTGTACTTACTAGGAACTGTGAGGCAGCAATATAGTTTAGGCAGAGGTTTTATAGTAATAGTTCACCTATACCTTTTGATTACTACTAATGTTTCATGATATAAACTTACTGACAACTATGAGGTTACAGGATGATGTGTGACATTTCCACTCCCCTGCATGTGCTGGTTGTACTGCAGGTATGGTGAGGAGGCTGTGTGTCTGGTTGATGGTAGACGCCATGTAGTCACCCACTGTTGTACAGGATGAACTTGATACATTACAGATGGCTGCAATTTCAACCTGCGATGTTGCATATCCAAGTGACGTTACATCACTGGGTGAGATGCAGGTCAGGTTAGCAGGAGAACCAAGATACCCAACACTAGGACAGATCAGTTCAGACGCACCTGTTAAGAGGATAGGAGTGTGTTATAAAGACGTGCGGGTGAACATAAGGGATTATTATCACACTGGGTAACTGTATACACTGTCATGAGTCGTCCATTGTCACTCAACATGCAACTTACCATTTGGTATATGGATCAGGAAGAACAAGAGCAGTGTCAAGGTGGTATAAAGACGTGCGGGTGAACATAAGGAATTATTATCACACTGGGTAACTGTATACACTGTCATGAGTCGTCCATTGTCACTCAACATGCAACTTACCATTTGGTATATGGATCAGGAAGAACAAGAGCAGTGTCAAGCAGTGTATCGGAGAGTTTGGGGCCATCATCACCTTTCAAACAAAAATCATATGCTTTAGCTCACATTTTGCACTTCTATTCGTCAGGGTTGAAGTATTGTAAAATTATTGTCCTCCTGTGGGGGTAAACTTTCAAAGAAAATTTAGATTTTTAGATTGGAATTGATTTTACTAATCAACCTTTATGTAGGTTTCAGTGTCAAACTACAGGCGTCAAAAAGCATGCAAAAAGTTCATTGTGCACAAAGCGCACGTCAGTAAGTTAGTGAGTTTAGTTTTACGCCACTTTTAGCAATATTCCAGCAATATCACTAAGGCGGACACCAGGAATGGGCTTCACACATTGTACCCATGTGAGGAATCGAACCCGGGTCTTCGGCGTGACGAGGGAACGCTTTAACCACTAGGCTACCCCACCACCCTAAAATCACATGTGGCATCAGATGCTTTGTTTCATGCATTTTGTGCAATTTTATGTTATGCACTGTTACATTTTTCCATTAGTATATTAAACAATTACTAGTATATCAACATATTGGCAGACAGACAGAGTATTATAGTCCCATCATAGTACATCCTAATAATTCAAAATAAAACATATATTAACTGGACATTTATGTTTAATTATACATCAGTTTTATTTGAACTATTATAACTTAAGGTCATCATCAACAGGGCAAAGTCAATAAACCGTGGACTTCTGGCACATTGTTATTACACACGAGACAATTATGGACAGGAATACACAGCCAAGAGTGAAGGGGGTATCACGCATTTTAAATTAAACATGACTGCGTCCAAAACTTCCGGGCAGTTAGAGATCAGGGTCCCAATCCACAAAACGTCTGTAGCGTTACGACATTCGTAAGCTCATGATAAACTATAGAATTACGACAGATCGTAGCGTAACGAACGCTTTGTGGATCGGGCCCCAGCTCTGTACTTGATGACTGAGGCACCATGTGATGAGTGAGTGAGTGAGTTACTATTTAACGTCACATCGGCAATATCTCAGCCACATCGTGACGAAAACAATTTATACAATATAAAGAGAAAACATGTTGAAGATTAAAACCTGTCGACGATGAACAGTAAAAATACTAGAGAATCACAGATATGAATATAAAACTAGCGAGCAAAGCTAAAACATTTCAATTAAAGAGGACAATACAGTATAAACCCGGGCTATAGATTGCCAGCAACTGAAGGTAGATCACCATACTAGGAACCACGGGGACTTTTGCTACCTGCATGGACCCTAGCTGGATTTACATCATCCCCTCAGCTACTGGCGATTGTAGGAAAATTTAGCCGGCAGTTAAAAGAACAAAGATACTACCTTTAAAATATGGTAGATTTGCATTTTACTTTGAAAGTTTTGGGACTTACGTACCCTCTCAGGAGGACAATAATTTTACAGTACTTTAACCCCTTTGAGGGTGCAGCCACTAACAATCTAAGTTACTAATCTAAATTACCAATCTTTAAAATATATCTATTTACAAAACACATTAATCAGAATTCATCAAACAAATCAATTTCTTTTAAAAAAACAATAATTAAATGATAATTAACATTTATAAAAAGATCCTTTATTGTTTTTACATTGAAATATGTATCCCTTATGATGGAGAAATCAACACAGTCAAGCAGGTCGTAACGTAATTAACGCTTTGTGGATCGGGACCCAGGTCTGTGCTTGATGACTGAGCCACCATGCATCCGAAGGCCGGAATATATATATTTAACATAACAAGGAAGTGAATATGGAATTCAAATATTCATTTCGATTTGGTGTTCAGCTTTGATTCAAATTCATTTTATTATTTTTCACACCGGAAATTATCGTTAGAGTCCAGCGTTATTGAAACGTCACGACAGGGACGTCTTGTTGGTGAAACGTTAAAGCAGCCATATGAAAAATCTCTTCTTGAAAAAAGAAACAGCAGTCACGTTCCCCTGAATCACAATTATGGCGTCCCCCTCCTCCGAATCGAACCTCTTCCAGAACCTAAAAATGATGAAGGATCTCTTTACTACTGTTACTTTTCATTTAATTATATCTTTTAAAGAAATTGATTTAATTCATATATATTGAACAATATGATTTTGTAAACAGATGTATTGTACTGATTGGTAGTTTAGGTTGTTAGTGGCTGTATCCTCAAAGGGGGTTAAAGTATCGTAAAATTGAAGTCCCAAAACATTTTAAATAAATTTAAACTTACCACCGTTTTTAATCGTAGAATATGTGTTATTTTAATGTATGGCTAGATTTGTCTGAATTGCTGACAGCTAAAGGGATGGTATAAAGCCAGCTAGGGTACATGCAGGAAGCAAAAGACTGTAAGTCCTCGTGGTCTCTAGTATGGTGACGTACCCTCAGTTGTTGGCATTCTAGAGCCCATATTTATATTGTAACGTTAAAGTTAGAAATAGGGTTTTATCATGATTATATCTTAGTTTTAAGTGCCAATATATCTATGATAGACTAGTTCTTTTACTGTCCTTCGTAGACAGGTATGCATATAAGTTTTGTTTTTTTATTATTTCATGTACATATTTACAAATTTACAACTTTCATAGTCACGATATGGCTGAAATATTGCCGATATGACTTTTAATTTTAACTAACTCACTCAATCTTCCAGAACCCCTGGCCTGAAGGAACGTTTCCCCCGTCCTTTGCCCTGTTTTTACCATCCATTTTGAAAGGAATCGCCTATATGTTGTCGGTGCTGTCTAGTACTGTAGGTTCTTCATTGGAAGTAGGATGTTTCTGACGTTCATCGTGACAGCGTAAACCTGAGATCAGCCTGATCCCAAACACCCTTCATTCTCTTCTGTCTTTCCACTGACGTTCCACTGACTGCAAGCCCTTTTCATGGGGTTCATGCCTGCAGACATGTCCGACCTAACATATATAATCTCATGAACAAATTCTAAATGTAATTTTGGTGCAGTTGGTGTTACGAGGTCATACAGTCTTTGTTTGAATGACGATTACATTTCTCACATTTCTGACATAGCAAATGAGTCTGTTCATCTCCTTTCTTGACATCATGTTCTTCACGGTTTGTTAGATAATTCGGTATGTTGAGCACAATGGGGGTTTCTGGTGGAACTTGGTCGTAGTTTGTGATCCAACTCTGGTTGTAAGGCTTGGTGTATTTCTGCCAAGACAGTTGAGATACTGTCCAAAGCGCCCTTGTCCATATTTGCATTCGTTATTGCTTTTGTGAATACCAAATTGCGTCTATTTAAATCCTTGTGTGCTTTTCAGAAGAACATTGCAGATAGGTGTGAACTGAATGTCAGTGATGTTTTTTTTTGTATCACTGGGGAACCTGGAGCTCGTATTGAGTTTTCAGTATTGTGTTTTGACAGACAATGACTCATCCTGATGGGGTGGCGACGATCTAGGACTTGAGCGTCAACGTGAGAGGCTACCAGAATACTAACGCCACTCTTCTTCGGATATAACGTTGAATTATGGAATATTTCTGTTGAATTTATGAACATATACTAACTAACTCACTGATTCTCTGGTGCGGTGGAGTAGTCTAGTGGTTAAGTCGTTCGCTCGTCACGTCGAAGAGCCGGATTCGTTTCGTCACATTGGTACAATGTGTGATGCCCATTTCTGGTGTCCCCCTCCGTGAAATCCAACTCAATCTCTCACTCATATAGATTATCTGAGTCATAGCTGTGCCATTTGGGGCATGCAACAATGACAATACTTCCGCTACTCAGACATGTAAGAATAAAGAGACGTTCCGACGCCAACAAAATGGGTGTATGAAAGGAAAACATGTTAAAGTCACAGCGCTTGAAATTATAAAGATCCTGTGTCATGGTTACTTTAAATCTCATTATAAATAACATATTCAACCAAGACGATTACCGTGGAAACCTACCTGAGACGTTATTCGTTATCCTCCTTCAGATACGTATTACTCAATAATCCGTAATATCTGTCCGCAGCCAACATCACCATATCTGAAAATCTAGGCCAGCTTAGGAACATGAACTATTCATTCTTTTTAGATTACAGTACGAATGTGAAACCACACTGTCAGAGAGAGTTCAGTTTTAGTTTCACCGTGCTACTTAAATATTTCCATCCTTGTTCTGGTCGAGTCAAATGTAAATTGGGGCGGAGAGGAAGGTTAATTGTTAAGGCGTTTGTTCGTCGCGCCGAAGACCCGGTTCGATTCCCCACATGCGTACACCGTGTGAAGCCCATTTCTGGTGTGCCCGCCGTGATATTGTTGGAATATTGCTATACTCAGTCAAATGTAAATCAGTGGCTAAGGTTGTGTGCGGCAAGAGTGTATGCGGGATTATGATTATGCACTGTTGATTCCTATGTTGATGTCAGAATTATTTCGATGTGAGTGCTATGTGTTACTTTTTAGCAAGTTGAAATGTAATGCAAAGGCTAACAGCTACATTTTACCATATAATGCATTGGAATCACCGCCAAGAACGAAATGGATATATAATCCACAACTGTGCTACATGTGCACTTGTATATTAAATGTATCATATATATTAAATGTATCATTTCATGTATGTACTCATGCTTGTCGTAAGAGGCGACTAACGGGATCGGGTGTCAGGCTCGCTGACCTGGTTGAAACATGTCATCGGTTCCCAATTGCGCAGATGGATGCTCATGCTGTTGATCACTGGACTGTCTGGTCCAGACTCGATTATTCACAGGCCGCCGCCATATAGCTGGAATATTGCTGAGTGCGGCGTCAAACTAAACTCACTCACTCATACATATTTGTACTTTATAACCCATCACTATAACACATATGCAATGACATATAAATGTATAATCGCAAGTAGCCCATCACTATGATACATGTACAATGATATATACATGTATAATTACATGTATGTACAGCGTAATCCATCCTTAGGATACAAGTACAATGGTGTATGAATGGTTAATTCATATAAAGATGACGTTATGACAAGAGTACAGGACTGAACGTTCCTGGCCATGATAAATTTTTGTCAACCACAAACTTTGGCCAACTAGCCCATTTCTAGCTGTAGTTCAGTACAAATTCAAATTCATAATCTACTCAAATATGATAGGGATACGGATACGATAACCCCAATTGCTCGACCATTAACCCCGAACAGTCATAAAATGACACATTGGATTTACAGGAATACTTTTTAAAGCAAAAGGAATTCGAGCGCTTAAACTATTCATTGGAAAGAAATACTACAGGATTCACTCGGAAAACTGCGCTGCACATGAGGTTACAGATGATCACGAACAGAACTTCCCTGAAGGAGAGACCCGTGAAGATCCGGGTAAGAATTGATCTTCAGTAACCCATGCTTGTGGTAAGAGGCGACTAGCGGGATCGGGTGGTCAGGCTTGCTGACGTCATTGACACATGTCATCGGTTCCCAATTGCGAAGATCGATGCTTATTCTGTTTATCACTGGATTGCCCGAACCAGACTCGATTATTTACAGACCGTCGCCATATAGCTTTTTTTTATTGCTGAGTGCGGCGTAAAACTAAATTCACTCACCCGAAGGAAATGATTACATGATACTAAACTCGTCTAATAAGAAACGAAATCGATAGAATTTTCAAACAATATATTTCAAATATTGTTCCAGACAAAGTGTTATAATTAGTTTATCGCGTTGGAGATGGCCGCTCTAATATTGATTCTTACAAATATATTTCCCAGACTGAAAAAAGTTCTCATGAAACGTGTTGATCAGATACTACTGTTGTTGTAACGGTTACTGGTGTGAGATTACTATTAGCTACATGTGACAATTGGTATCATATTTTTCAGATGCTATTGGTTTCTACTTACAGGAACAGAATCATGATGGATTTTCGCCATTGCTCGGTTTCACAATGCATGGAAATCTTGCATCAAAATATTGATTAGTTATATCTTACTAAATTAAAAATGTATGTTTATGTTTATACACTGATTTATTGAATTTTAGCATTCAGGAGTCTCATTCGACCAGTATAGCGCATGGTAGCATACGTGTTCAAATGTATTCTGTGTACGAAAGTATTACATTTTCGACATTTTTCAAAACAAATGGGTGCATGAAGTCGAATACAAAATAAAAGTGTCAACAGGAATGTGCGATAGGGCAAATTACCCATACTTTTGGTACGTCCTCATTACAATGATTTTTCAGTGGGTCAGTTCCTCGTCTACTGGACAGTTGTGACTAATGACGTTTGAATATTAATTCCGCAGATTAATGCGTATCATGCGGTTATTTCACTTTGCATTACCATACATTGTGCCTGTCTTTCTCAAACAAGCCTGTACAACTGTTCATGCCCATGAAATACACAATGCCATTTAGAAAGTGGTCAAATGTAACTTTGTGTGCTGACTTTGTGTGCTGGCGATTAGGTGCCTGACTCTGAGGGTGTGAGTTCGAATCCCGGATGGGGCTCAACTCCAAAGAGAACTAGAATTTGTACTTTACTAAGAAAGTGTAATCCCAAATATAACATTTGTTATATTCATGCCAATATGACTGAACCGACGTTCTACTATCCTGGACTAACAACAAAAAACTTGATGTTTTAAAACCGAACAATTCTTTCCTTTATTGGATCAATTAGTCGTTCACTTTGTGGCACTGCTACAGTCAACGATGTAGCAAGACTAGCGAAGTAAGTCGCACAATTGTTGTTGTATGTAACTAATTCTTCTCGTGCTTTTCAAGTACAACTTCAGATATCATCATGCATATCTAAACCAAATGTGCATTTCATCCGCTTTTAATATATTTGAAACGAATCATAGAGACATTAAACATCTATAATATATTATGTTGTTCAGTAGTAATTCATTTCTTGTAAAATTTGTTAGCTTACATTACATTCCTAACAACTATTCGACAACAAATTGATGAAATGTATTTGGGAATTGAACAGTTAGTTAATCACTATTTGAGTCAATCTTTGCTCCCAGTTAAGAAAGTAAAGAAAGCTTTGAATATGTTTTAAAACATATCTCAATGTTGATTATCCTTTGTTTCACATTGTTCATAAGGTTCCAAGTTACAACGTATTGTTCACTCTCCTCGCACTCAGAAGTTCATTAATATTTGCTCACTAATCTTCCCAATATCACTCTACTGTCCTCGATGTATACCGAATTAAAGAATGCGGTTCACCAATAAATCAATCAAGTTCGCATGTTACTCAAGTTATGAGTTTACCAGGTTATTTGACTGTTTCAGAAGCGACAAAATCAGTATTTTGAAATTTCTACTATGCCATGTGACATCTCAGTGTCGAGAAATCGTCAGCAATATCCTAACTTTCTTAAAAAACGAAGCTACAGAAATAGAAATAGAAACAGTGATAATTAAACTTGGTGTATAGAGTGATAGCGAGAGTAATCGGATTGTGAAAGTAACTGACGTCTGTACGTTGTAAAGTTAGCGAAAAGATAGCACATGACCGTAGAAGCAATTCAATTAAAACATGAAATGATTGTTTTTTTCAGAAGTGTTGTTTTTCGGAACAAGTTCTGTGACGAATCTATGTATGCATGCTTCGCATGAACGCCACGTTAATGACATTCTCTGCTCCCCTATGTAATGAAGTTAACTCGACCTCCCGTTTGTGCCATTTGACCCTCCGGGTCATGCATATGTATCATATGTATATGTATCATAATGGGTGTATCGACAGTCGAGATGTACATAAAGATATAAGTCAAACTCTAGTATAATCGCCAGCTGCTGAAGGGATGGTGTAAATCCAGCTAGAATCCATGCAGGTAGTAAATGCACTGTAAGTCCCCACGGTCCCTGGTATGGTGATCTACCTTCACTTCCTTGCGATCTATAGCCCATCATTATAACAGGAGATACTTCGCCCACAGGCAGGAATAATAAAGACGTATATGGGTTAAATGGCCTAGAGTGTGGGGGTGCTCGAGGGCTGCTGCATTAGTAGTAATGAAAATGCACCTGCAGCTACCGCTGCACTAGTAACTACCGTTACTACCGTTACTAGGAAACCCTTGCCATGGCGCTACCGCTGCCAGGCACCGAATGTAAAAGAATATTGAGCCAGGGCAATTACCGTTGCCAAGCCAACTGTTTGCTGTAAAGCAAACCCTAGTCACCTGCTGTAAAGCAGAGTGGATATACCTGATCCTTGCTGTAAAGCAGAAGACCCTAACAGTGCAAAATTTAGACGTGCAGCCAAATATAACTGCAGCCCACGAGCACCCCGTTACCCTAGACGGTTTTATTCCAGTAGGATGAATATACATACTTTCCAAGAATGGCGGCACTGATATGTACAGCTGGAAAGAAAAACAAAGAGAAAGTGAAATGTTGAAGAGAAGCGGGTGGGTGGGCGGGTGAAGGATGACAGCGTCGACCGAACACTATGATGGCGGCGATACCGGCGGAAAGCTAACGGCATATGACGTCATATGACGTTGTACGCAAAATTGATGACGTTGGGGCATGACGTAGCATGTCTGCGTACGCGGAAGAGGAAACGGAGTTATATGATATAATTAAAGCTTCGCATCCCTGCCATAAAGGCATTTAGTTTTTAGTTCTAAATGCTATTATATTGTTTTGTCACGTAACAGTTTTACTATTGTATATGCTCCCTAACTAGTTTAAATAAACTGTGCTGTGAGTGAGTGAGTTAAAATTTAAAGTCACATCGGCAATATTTCAGCCATAGTGTGACTGAAACTAGTTTCAAATTCATAATACATATATATATTATATACAACCCTGTCAACGAAGGACACTAAAATTACTAGGTTATCACAAATGAGGTAAAACTAGCTAGCATATATCTTTAAAAGCAGAACATTATTTTTGAACAATACAGTGTAAAAATGGGCTATAGATCACCAACAACTGAAAGTAGATCACCATACTAGGGACCATGGGGACTTACAGTGCCTTTGCTACCTACATGGACCCTAGTTGGATTTACACCATCCCTTCAGCCGCTGGCAATAGTAGGAAAAGTTTAGCCGAATGTTAAAAGAACAAAAATAGT